GATTAAAAAAAAACTAGATGTGCTCAGGACCATGATGGAAACCATGAATGTCTAATATAGGAAAGAAATGGAATCCATGAAACAGATTCTAACAGATATCCAGATTAAAAACTCCATCGAAAGCATTCACAGCAGGATGAAGGAATGTGAAGATAGAATTTCAGATATAGAAGATAGAATTGCAGTCAGTGACCATGAAAAGAGAGATCTCTTAAAAGCAGTCAGGGATCATGAGAAATCAATCAAGCAACTCTTAGATGATGCAAAGAGGAAAAATATAAGATTGATAGGAATCTATGAAGCATCAGGAGAAAGTACAAATGACATAAAAAACACTTTCACAGAATTAATGACAAAAAATTTCCCAAACAGAGGGGAAGAATTTGACATACAAATAAATGAGGCATATAGGACGCCAAATAGCCATGATCAAAAAGAAATTGCACATAGGCATATAATAATCAAGATCCTGGAAACTCAAAAGAATAACAAAACACTACAAGCAGTAAGAGAAAAGAAACAAATCACATGCAAAGGAAAGCTTATCAGACTCACAACAGACTTTCCAACACAAACTTTCAAGTCAAGGAGAGCCTGGAGTGAGGTATTTCAAGTCCTATAAGAAAACAATCTCCAACATAGACTGATGTATCCTGCAAACTATCTTTCAAAATTGGGAAATAAGATACTTCCATGACAAAGAACACCTGAGAAATTTCATGAAAATCACACTGGCACTGAAAACACTTCTAAACAATACCCTAGAAAAAGAAAATGAAGACCACAAGGGCCAACAGAGCAAGGCAATAAATTAAAGAGAGAGAAGGAGAAATAAAAAATAACATGACAATGAAAAGTCATTGTTAATGGCCTCAATTCACCAATTAAAAGAAACAGGCCTGCAGAATGGATTAAGAAGCAAAATCAAAGAGTATGCTGTATACAATAAACACACTTAATCCACAAAAAAATTCACAGACCAAGAGTAAAAGGATGGAAAACAGTTCTCCATGCAACAGGATCCCAGAAAAAAGTGGGGGTAGCTATCTTATTTGCAGACAGAATACATTTCAAACAAAAACTAATTAAGAGAGACAAGCAAGGCCATTACATTCTTGTAAAGGGAACAATACAAGAGGAAGAAATGATGGTCATAAAGTATATGCACCAAACACTAAGACTTCCAATTACACAAAAATATTAATGGATAGGAAAAATGAAATAAGCACTAATACAATTGTAGTGGAGGCCCTCAATATTCCACTGACAAATAGACAGATCATCTAGACAAAAAATCAACAACAAAATAACAGAACTGAACCAAGTCTTAGAACAAGTGAACTTAGTACATGTCTACAGAGTGTTCCACCTCACAAAAGCAGAATGTGCATTCTTTTCAGCTGCATACAGGTCATTCTCCAAAATAGACCACTTGCTAGCTCATAGAAATTGCTTATGTAAATGCAAAGAATTGAAGTTATCCTCTGTATATTATCAGACCACAGTGAAATTAAACTGAAGATCAATAGCCTAAGAATCCACAAGAACTTCACAAACACATGGAAATTAAACAACACCCTGTTGAACAACCACTGGGTCACAGAGGAAATTAAAGAAGAAATTAGTTTCTACAAGTAAATAATAATGCCAATACAACACACAGGAATCTATGGGACACAATGACAGCATTTCTACAAGGGAAATTCATAGCAGTAAATGCCCATACTAGGAAAACAGAGTGAGCTCAAATAAACAACTTAATGCTTAACTTTAGGCTTCCAGAAAAAAAGACCAAGACAAACCAAAAGCTTGTACAAGGGAGGAAATTACAAAGATCAGAGTAGAAATGAATGCAGTGGAGACTAAGAAGGATACAAAAAAATCAGTGAATCAAAGTGTTAGTTTCTCAAAAGAATAAGTAAAACTGAGAAACCCTTAGTCAACATCATAAAAAAAGGAAAGAAAGGCTCAAATTCATGCAATTAGCAATGAAAAAGATAAAGTTACAACAGATCCACCATAAATACAGAGGATCATGAAGACCTACTTCAAAAACTTGTACTCTAATAAATGCAAAAAATACAGAAGAAATGGACAGATTCCTACATATATATGAACTTCCAAAATTGAACAAAGAGATATAAAAAGTCTAAACACTGCAATTGCATTTAATGAAACTGAAGATGTAATTAAAACATTACCAACAAAGAAAAGCCAAGGTCTTGATGGCTTTACTGCTGAGTTCTACAAAACATTTAGAGAAGAATTATCACCACTGCTCTTTAGACTCTTCAAGTAAATTGAAAGGGAAGCTATACTTCCAAATTCATTCCTGGAAGCAAGTATTACTTTGATACCAAAACCAGGGAAAGACCCAACCAAAAAAGAGAACTACAAATCAATCTCCCTAATGAATATAGATGCAAAAGTCCTCAATGAAATACTGGCAAACAGAATACAGAAGATTATTAAGAAGATCATACACCCTGACCAAGTTGGATTTATCCCAGGGATGCAAAAATGGTTCAACATACATATATCAATAAATGTAATACACTATTTTAACAGAGTCAAGGACAAAATCCATGTAACCATTATCTCAATAGATGCAGAAAAAGCATGCGACAAAATTCAACACCCATTGATGATAAAAATTCTACAGAAAATTGGAATAGATGGTCTTTATCTCAACCTGATAAAGGTTATCTATGAAAAACCAACAGCCAGTTTCATTCTAAATGGTCAAAAACTGGAAACTTTCATGCTAAAATCAGGCACAAGGCAAGGATTTCTTCTATCACCACCCCTGTTCAATATAGTTCTAGAAACATTAACCTAGCAATTAGGCAAAAGATAGGAAGAAAAGGAATAAAGATAGGAAAGGAAGAAGTTAAGCTGTCACTATTTGCTGATATGATACTCTACATATAAGGTCCAAAATACTCTGCCAAAAGACTTCTAGACTTAATGGACCAATTCAGTAGAACATCTCAATACAAAGTCAGCTCTCAAAAATCAATAGCCTTCTTGTATGTGAATAACAGTCACTGAGAGAGAAATAAGGGAATCAATGCCTTTCACAATAATATCCAAAAAATGAAATATCTAGGAATCAATCTAACAAAGGAGACAAAAGATCTCTATTCTGAAAACTGAAGCACTCTGAAAAGAGACAGAAGAGGATATAAGAAGATGGAAAGACATCCCTTGCTCCTGGGGAGGAAGAATCAACATAGTGAAAATGGCCATATTTCCAAAACTTTTATACATACTCAATACAATCCTGATTGAAATCCCAATAGTATCATGCACAGAACTTGAGAAAACAATCCAAAACTTCATTTGGAACAAGAAGAGACCTAGAATAGCAAAAACCATTCTAAGCAACAGAGACATAGCATGGGGTATCACAATTCCCAACTTGAAACTATACTAAAAAGCCACTGTGATAAAAACAGCATGGTACTGGCAAAGAAACAGACCTGAGGACCAGTCGGATAGATCGGAAGATGCAGAAAAAACTCCAGATGTACTTAGCTACCTCATCTTTGAGAATGGAGCCAACCATCTTCACTGGAGGAAAGAAAGCTTCTTTAATAAAGAGTGCTAGAAAAACTGGCTTTCAACTTGCAAAAGATTAAAGCTAGAGTCCTATCTTTAAACATGCACTAAACTAAAATGCAAGAGGATTAAAGATCTAAATATCAAAACAGAAACACTAAACTTACTGCTAAGCAAATTAGGTAGAACTCTTGAAGACCTTGGCATAGGAAAAGACTTTATGAACAAATCCTCAGCATCCTGAGAACTTCCACAAAGAATCAACAATTGTAATATGATGTAACAAATGTAATACAATGATCTCATTGTATTAAAAAGTTTTTGAATTTCAAGAGAAACCATCAACAGAGCTAAGAGACAACATACAATGTGGGAAAAAAAATTACCAGCTACTCCTCAGACAAAGGACTATTATCTAAAATATATAAATAACTCAAAAAATCAGACCACCCAAATACAAAGACCAATTAAAAATGAGCATCTGAAATGAACAGACATTTCTCAGACAAAGAAGTGAAAGCGGCAAGTAAATATATGAAAAAATGTTAATCATCACTGGTCATTCCAGAGATGCAGATGAAAACAACAGTGAGATTCCACCTCACCCCAGAAAGAATGGCTGCTATCAAGAAATCAACCAATAACAAATTTTGGTGGGGGTGTGGGGAGAAAGGAACCCTTCTCCATTGTTGGTGGGAGGGCAAACTGGTGCAACCTCTATGGAAATCAATATGGAGACACCTTAAAGAACTAGGATTGGAAGTCCCAATTGACTCAGATATTGCCCTGCTGGGTATCTTCCCAAAACCATTAAAACAATCATACCACAGTGATATATGTGCACCCATGTTTATAGCGGCACTGTTTCCAATAGCTGAAACTTGGAAATAGCCCAAATGCCCATCAACTGGAGACTGGATAAAGAAAATGTGGATTTTTTTTTTTACAGTACTACTCAGCCATAAAGAATAATAAAGTAGGGCCTGGGATTTAGCTCAGTGGTTCCAGTGCCTGCCTCACAAACACAAGTACCTGAGCACTTGGGAGGCTGAGGCAGGAGGATCTCTGTGAGTTTGAGACCAACCTGGGCTACATAGTAAATTCCAGATCAGTCTCAACTACGTAGTGAGATCCTGTCTCAAAAAAAAAACAAAACAAGAAAGAATGAGAAAGTGGAGACATTTATAGCTAATGGTTGCACACAGAGGCTATATTCTTAACTGAAATAAATAGGACACATGAGTAAATGCCGAATAGCTTCTCTGGTGTGAAAAACTAAAAATGTAAATAAGGTTCAAATGGTATAATTGAGAGTGTGAACTAGGAAGAACAAAGCATATAGTGTAAAGTTACAGGACCCCAATGATAAGTGCAGCAGTATTGTTAGCTTTAAGTGTACCAGTAAACTTAATGGGAAAGAATATAGAATGTAGACTTACCAATTCATAGAGGAGAAAGATAAGCCAATTTATAGAAATCCAAGTATCAATGCAGGAAAGAGTGGGGAGTAGAGAAATTGGCAAATCTGAAAAATAACATCAAATTAAAGAGAACAATTTTTTTTCACTCTCACCATCTTGCTTCCACCTTCCATTTTTAATTCCTAAAAATAATAAACCCTTTCTGTTCCTGTTACATATTTAAGCAGGTATAAGAAAATCGGGCATTTGGAATTGTAATTAAGCCCAGGGAGATAAACAAAAACTCTCTTAGCATAATAGTGTGCAAGACATACACATTTTGGCAGGTCTGTGTAATATGGCTTCCCAGCCTACAGAATCCAAAATTCAGCCACCTTCCCACAATCCCATAACTAATAGAACTGAATAATAATTCCCCTGAGGCTAAGGAGAAAACTGAGGCCAACTGTAACTGGAATATGTGAAAAAAAACAACAACAGCATAGATAAAGTCAAAAGAAACAAAAGTGTAAACAAAGTTTTTGTATATAGGGAGGGGTGGAGGGGTTGAAGGGAGGGTAGGAGAGTGGGGGAAAAATAAGAACCAAGATACATCATGTTGATACATCAAGGTACATGTTCCCAATGATGAACGTAATGGATTATATACCTAAAATATGCCAATAAAATAATTTAGGAGAAAAAAATAAAAGTTTTCAATTTCCTAATGACTGTGAGAGGGACTCATCATTTAGCAACTTGAGAGCTGAGGCTGAAGAGCTAGAGCATGAGATGAATGGTACAGAGAAGGCACGTCTACATCCCCAATCCCACTGGATTCTGGGAGTTGGTGTATCAAGCATAAGACTGTAGTACTACTTTTTGCAAATTTTGAACCTTGAGCACATTTTGGTAGTTAAACATTTAGTATTAGAAATTTCTACCCTTCCTACTAGGAACTACCCAAGAGTCTCAAAATTACACAAGGTATTATTTTGCTGATAAATCAAGCTGTATTGTCAATGATATCCTCCTTAATTTACATAATTACCTTTTCAGAGACTTTTGTCTCTTTAGTGATTCTACACTCCAGTATTTAAAACAGTACCTTTCATGACCACATGCTCAAACATTCAGTGATCCATCATTTAGCTCCAGAGAAGTGCAGCAGCCAGGAAGAATGGTTTAAAAGGTACAGCTCTATGAGGTGTTAAATGGGCTATTCCTATTTTAAATTTCTCATTTAGATCCATTTGACTAGTCCTGAATTCCTAATACTTCTTTCTTGTGTTAGTGAGAGATTTGTTCTCATGAGAAGGCACAGCTAAAGATCCCATCAGTGCCTTTTTTTTTGTACCTTCTTTCAACATACTCCACACAGCCAGGAAAATCAACTGAAATGCTTACTTAACTGTGATGTTTTTAGAGTCCTAACTAGTAAGGCTGTCCATAAAAACAAGCATGGTTTCAAACTGGTCTAAGATACAGTTTGCTTCAGAAATGATAAGCCAAATGTATTTTAATCTATGTGATTTAGTCTTTTAAGCCTCTTCACCATGACCAAATGCAATCTGTTATTCTAAATTGGATCTTGAAACAGAAAAAGGGCATTAGTGTAAAATTTGGTGAAATCAAAGAAATGGATTTCAGCTAAAGTGAAATATCCTTAAACTGTGACAAATGTACCATGGTAACATTAAGCATTAACTTAGGGAAAACTAGAATTGATATACTGGAACTCTCCATATTGTCCTTGCATTTACTTTTTCATAAATCTAAATTATTCCAAATAAGGTGATTTTTTTAAAGTATTTTTCCTCACCAGATCTAAGAGTACAGCCCTTTTTAGCAATTGAAGAAAATGGCTAAATGATATAACTGCTTTGTATATCCTAAAAGTCTTTGCAATAAGACAACAGCCAGTAATGTTTCTGGTAGACTTTTCAAAAGATTAAGATAGAATCTGATTTTTAAACAATTCATATAAATATTTTATTGTGTTCTCTGTTCTAGTAAATCAACATTATTCTAGTAATGGAAACTGACAGTATTTTAATGTTCAGATATTCTTAAGGGAACATTCTTTTTTTTTTCCTGTCAAGTTTATTGGTACCTTTAAAGCAAACAATACAGTTACATTTATTGTTGGAACTTGTACCTTTACATGACACATCTTGGGTCTTATTCTTTCCCCATACTCCTGCCCTCCCTTCACCCCCTTCATCATTTACAAAGACTTTGTTTCCATTGTTTTCTTTTTCCACCTTTTTGCTTTACCCTTCTTTGCTCTACCCTCCCCTTCCACTTCCCCTTTAGCTATTTACTTCCAATTCCACACTACCAATTATACCATTTGAACCTGACTTACACTTTTAGTTTTTCACACACCAGTGAAAGTGGGTTTTTTGTATAGAGCATATTGTTGGATTTTGCTTCTTAATTCATTCTGCTAGCCTACTTCTTTTGATTGGTGAATTGAGTCCATTAACATTGATGGTTATAACTGATATGTATTGACTTTTCATTGTCATGCTATTTTCCTCTTTGTCTTTTATTTTCTCTCTCTCTCTCTCTCTCTCTCTCTCCCCCCTTTAATTTCTTGCCTAGCCTGGTATATTTGCTGTTGGCCCTTATGCAGTTGTGGCCTTAATGTTTTTTTCTTTGTTTTTTTTTTTTTTTTATTTTTTTTTTTTTTTTCTTTTTTTTTTTTTTTTTTTTTTTTTTTTTGTACCAGGGATTGAAGCCTTAATTTTCTTTTTGCAGGATATTAATTAGAAGTGTTTGGGTACCAGTTTACTGTTTATGAAATTTCTCAAATGCTCTTTTTCATAGAAGTGTCTTATTTCCCCATCAATTTTGATAGTTTTGCATGATAGTCTAGGATAGAAGTTGGTTTTTTTTAGAGCTTTCTCTCCTTGACTTGAGGGTTTGTATTGAAAAGTCTGCTGTAATTCAGATGGGCTTTCCTTTGCATGTGATTTGTTTCTTTTATCTAATTGCTTGTAGTATTTTGTTCAGTGGGAAGGGTAGGACAAAGCTATTAAGGGAAAAGAAAACAATATGAGAAAATGAAAATGAAGTGTTTGTAAAGGGGGAGGGGAGGAGGGGTGAAGGGAGGGCAGGGACAAGGGGGGAAAATGAGAACCAAGACCTGTCATGCAAAGGTACAAGATCCCAATAATGAATGTAACTGTACTGTATACCTAAAATGTACTAATAAACTCAATGAGAAAAAAAAAAAAAAACTCCACAGAAAGTATTCACAGCAGAATGAATGAATGTGAAGCTAGAATTTCAGACACAGAAGACAGGATTGTGGTCAGTGACGATGAAAAAAGAGATCTCTTAAAAACAGTAACAGATCATGAGAAATTAATCCAACAATGCCTAGATGATGCAAAAAAGAATAATAAGAATGACAGGAATCCATGAAGTAGCAGAAGAAAGTACAAATGACATTTTTTAAAAACCTGTTCACAGAATTAATGACAAAAAACTTCCCAAACAGAGCAAAAGAATTTGACATACAGATAACTGAGGCATATAGGATTCCAAATAGCTATGATCAAAAAAAGAAAAAAAAAAATATATATATATACACCTAAAAATATAATAGTCAAGATCCCAGAAACCCAACCTAAGGGAACATTCTTAAAGAGCAAAAATCAATACAACAATCCAAGAGAATAAAACTTCATCATCAGATGGCATTCATGAAATTTTTTGTTGCTTTCTCATGCCCAGTAATAAGATGCACACAGAACACTAGTATACCACAAAGAGCAAATCCATTCATTATGTAAGTGATGTAATAAATATAAATGGAATAATATCCTCATTAAATCACATGAACTTTAATTTGCATCCAAATCAGCTATCTAAATACACTTAACAAGAAAAAACCCACAAATTTTTAGGTGAAAATGGAATTGTGGGCTCCTGTTTTTGAAACTACAACTATTTCTCAGATACAAAAGTAACAAAAAATGTAGACATACCTCAATGTTCATGGGAGATTATTTCCAGGACCCTTGGTGAGAAGTAAAACTTGTAAATATTCAAGTTCTGTATGTAATATAATGTAGTACTTTTATACAGCCTACACACATCCTCTTCTGTATTTTGAATCATCTCAAGATTACATATAATATCAAATGCAAATGTTTTATCAATCATTTTATGTTGTAATGCTTATGGAATACTTTCCCCCCACAAAATTTATATATGTTCAGTAGAGATATAGGGTTTTTTTTCAATATTTTCAACCTGAGGTTGGTTGAATCTGCCAAGGCAAAATAACAGATATGGAGAAGAAATTGTAGTGCAAAAAATAAAATAAAACAATTTAATAATTAAACGTCATGGAGGACTAGATTCAGACAAAAGCAATAGGGTCAGTGAGTCTGAATCCACAGAATATCTGATTAAGGACCATATATTGCCAATGGGAACAAAGAAAATTTAAAGTTCCACCTAAAACCGATGCCTGTCTCATTTGTTAAAGACAAGGTGTGAGTCTGGTTTCCCCAAATCCTGAAATTAAGCTTACAAATGAGCAGTCATAATAACAAAATAATAACAAAAAAAAAACCTTGCAGAGGGATTCCTAGTATTATAGTTTTATTCTAAGTAGAGGCAGAAGATTTGACCAGGACATAGACCAGAAAACTTCCACTTCTCTGACACCCTGACTCTGTCTTCAACATCCCAAAAATCATCATTGAAAACTAGTATCAAAAAAGTATACTATTTACTTCTGGATTGGGGAAAAGAGACTGACCATTGGCAGTAACAAAACCTATCCAAACAGTGAGAAAAGAAAACAAGGAAGAAAGGGTGGAGTGGGGAAGGGAGGCTAGGGAAATGGGGAAAAAATAAGAACAAAGATATGTCATGTAAAGGTACACAAGATCCCAATGATGAATATAACTGTATTGTATATCTAAAATGTACCAATTAAAAAAATATTTTAAAAGAAAGAAAACAAAGAAAAGATGGGCATGGTGGCTCACACCTGTGATCCTGGCTACTTGGGAGGCTGAGGCAAGTGGATCAGAAGTTTGAAGCCAGCCTGAGCAATTTAGTGAGGTCCTGTCTCAAAATAAAAAATGTTGACATTATAGCT